TTGGTTTGAGCACTGTTGACTTCTCAGTTTTGCCTTTCCTTTAAAAATATGTTTCTTATTGTGAAATATACTGTATATACAGAGCAGTTACAGATTCATGGTTTTTGACAGACCCTAACTGTATAAACTACCACTCGTTTCATCATGAATTTTATCCATGGGATTATTTTTAGTTGTAGTTTTTTACTCATTTCTTATGACTTGCTATTCATTCTCCTGTTGATCAATATTGAGTCATTCCTAGTGTGAGACTGTGTTAGTTCAAGTCCCCTAAGAACAAGAAGACTGCAAGTTAAGATTAGATTTAGATTTATAGGGCGAAATCCTTGTGAGGGAGCCATCAGACCCATGCAAATGTGATGCTTGTGAAGAAGGAAGGGGAGGAGGGAAAAGGGATAGGAAAAGTCTTAGAACTGCAGTGAGGTTGTGTGAAAGTTTAGGCAAGGCCGATAAGGAGTCCTTCAGCTGGTTGCCCTTTAGAGGAGTCCCTTGTCCTGCGTGAATGGGCCTGCTTTTTCTTTTAGTACCCCACCTGTGGTCAGTCACTGGCTACAAACAGCCTGTGGGAAGTGTGTGGCCAGAGGGACAGCAGTTGTGGATTCAGCAGAGCCCCAGTCACTCAGTCTTGCTCCCCACAGTAGGTGGTCTGGAGGCTCATTTTCATGACCTTCACAGGGCTAATGTCAGTGACATTACTGTAAACGTTCATGTACATATTTCTTGCATGGTGATTTTCTGTTGGGTAGACTTAGGAGTGGAATTGCTGGGTCATATACTGTGCCTGTGATCAGTATTAGTAGATAACTCAAACCCTTTTCTGAAGTGGACATACGAATTTTCATTCATACTGCAGTAAATGCATCCTCTGGCTCCACATGTCACCAATATTTTGTATTGTTAGTTTTTCTAGTTTTAGTCATTCCAGAGAGTGTGTGGTAACATCTTATTGTGGTTCCTTCTTTCTAAGTTAGATAAGGCCAAGTGATTTGCCTTGGGGGCTGGGATGGGGGAGGGGGACGGGGAAGGCAAGGGCAGGGAGGTAGAGGGAGGGAACTTTGTTTTTTGTCTTAAGCAGTTGAGATTTTGGGGGTTGTTTGTAGACATAGCATACTTATTAACCTATCCCGACAAACTGCTTTTGAAAAATAGACTTTATTTTTTAAGAACAACTTCAGGTTCACAACAAAATTGTGAGCAGAAGGGAAAGAATGCCCATATCTCCCTTGCCCCCACATATGCACAGCCTCCCTGTCAGCATCCAGCACTGGAGTGCTGTACTTGTTACAACTGATGAACCCACATTAACATGTCATTATCATCCAAAGTCCATAATTTGCACTATGGTTCCCTCTTGTTGTTTGTGGGTTTTGATAAACCCTTAATGGCATGTATCCACTATTACAGTATTGTATAGAATAGTTTGACTGCCCCAAGAATCCTCTATGTTCTGCCTTTGAGGGTACTTCAAAAAGTTCGTGGAAACATTCATATTATCTTTTAATTCTGTTTTTCCACAGACATTTTGAAGTACCTACGCATGTTTGATCTCCTGCATGTCTCTCTGTCTGCCTGCCTGCCTCCCTTCCTTCCTTCCTTGTCTTCCTCCCTTCCTTTCTTTTCCCTCCCTCCCTCCCTCCCTCCCTCCCTCCCTCCTTCCCTCCCTCTCTCCCTCTCTCCCTTTCCTTCCTCCCTTTCCTTTCCTTTCTTCCTTTCCTTCTTTCCATCCATTGTGTTCAGAAAACAAAACTATTTCAAAGCTTATGAAGTTTTTTGAAGCTTGCTGTGTGGCCTAGCATATGGACACTTTTTATAAATATTCTGTGTGTGCTTGAAAAGAATGTGTTTCTGCATTTGTTGGATGCAGTGTTCCATGTTTGTCAGTTAGGTAAAGTTGGTTAATCATGTTAAATTCTTTCTTCTGTATCTTTTTTTTCTCTCCTTTTGGCTGCTGGTTGTATTGAGAGTGGTGTTAATACTTTGATTTTGCATTTGCCTGTTTTTTTACTAGTTGTGATACTTTTTGCTTTATATATTTTGAGGACATGTTATTAGGCGCAGACATGTTTAGAATTGTATATCCTCATCAATTTGAGTCTTTTAATATCACTGTTTTTCGGACAAAAGTAGTATTAGAGGTAAAAATCACTGTATTTCGGACAATAGTAGTATTAGAGGTAAAGTTTACTTAGCTTTATATTAATGTTGCTGCAATATTTTAACTTGTTTTTTAA